TTCATTATTTGTGTTATCAGATAACTGAGTGGACCGTCACTAGTGGGAGTGGGGTTCTCAGGATGCCACTGGAATAAGCATTTCCAGAGGGCCCCACGGGAGAATGAGATGTGGTAAAAAGTTTTATTTGCGTGTAGTCATATCCCTTGGTTTGCAAAGTCCCATTTTCCTTAGTCCAGTCCTGGAGGAGGGATAGTTGGGAAGTTAGCAGAGCTAGAAGCAGAGTGAGTGTCCAGAGCTGCCATTCCAGGGTGCGGCTGAGTCCAGTGTAGCATCAGGCTTTAGGCTAGTCCATTAGTCCACTGTGTGGGGGTCCACGTGGCTGTATGCCATGTGGGCAGATGCAGGGAAGTACGCCCCCTAAAGCAATGTCATCCAGAGGATTAACAATGGAACTGGAAGAGTGTAAAGAAGAAAGAGCCAATTATATTGTTAAACCAAACCCTATGGAAGCCAGTCCATGTAATATGGAGTATCTACTACATCTTAGAACATCAGGTTCAGTAAGCACTTTATCCATTCATTTTATACTTGCAACAACCCTAGAACGAAGAAAAGCCAAGGTTTAAAAAGCATACCTAATTTTCACAAGTGACTCAACCAGAAAGTAGTAGAGCTGGGATTTGAACCAGGTCTATCTGACCTCAGAGACTAAGCTCTGGGAAGAGGCACTTACGGTAAAGGAAATTAATATAGTAGGAAGTAAGGGAAAAATGAGCTGCCCCGGACATGGTTGGTTGTGCCCCCCTTAGATCATCATGCAAGTCATTTTGCCTTCCTTTGCCCAATGTTACTCAGACATCTGCCCCTGCCTCACTCTCGGTCCCATGGTCTGGTTCTTAGCAGTGAAGCATACATGCCAGGCCTGTGCATTTCCTGGCCATGGTACATGGTTTAGGGTATGAATGTGGTCGAAGCCTGTTTAATCGTAATGGACCTCAGAGCTTTTGGACAAGACTCTGGCTCTTTCCTGGTGGACTTAAACCTGGGTGACATGAGTCCAGGGCTACTGCAGCTCACCTGCCACCCACTCCACATGGAGCCCAAGAGGGAATCCAACCCAGAGGCGGGCAGAGCCCAGAGAATGACTTACAGTGATGCTGTCTGAGCCTTCAACCCAGCTGTTCCTAAAGCTAGATCTATCCTCAACTTTTCAGTGACATAAACCAGTAAGTCCCCCCCCAAGGCAAATCTGTGTTTTCTGTAACCTGCAACCAGGAGTCCTACACAGAGCATCTGCCTCTACGACGAAGGACAGAAGCTTCTGGCTGAGAATCACAGAGGAGAGAACGAAGCCCCACACTGGGCCACCCACCCAACAGACGGAAGTTTCCCAATAACCAACCAAATGTCTGAACATTTTATTCAGAAAAAACAGAACATGTAATAAGTCTGACAATTTCATCTCTCATAAAAAGCAAGAGGAAACACTATGCTGCCTTTATTCTGACGCAGAAGGTAGGACAAAGTGTTTTTTTGAAGGGAGGAACCTTGAGAAAGCATGATTATGGGATTTTAAGAGTTTATTAAGAGCATGTTAAGAAAAAATTTTAAAAGTTCAGACAAAATCTAGGGACAATACAAAACCCAGGGCCTGAGACCCTAAAAGGGAAGGCAGCTCGATGGAAAGAAATGCAGCCCTCCCCAAACCCCAAATCTGATCATTATAAAATTTTATAATTTATAAAATCTCCAGGTAGGAAAAAGTAAAATACAGGGTGGGGAGAAAGTAGGTTTACTGTTGTTCGTATGGAAAAAAATTAATAATAATAATACAAGAATAAACTCTGTTTCACATACTCACAACTGTAAACCCACTTTTGCCCCATCCTGTATATCCAAATGTCAGCTAGCACGTTGACCCTGAATGGTTCGAGGCAGGCATCGTTTATCGATCGCAGCGCCTTTTCCTGTTAAGCCCAATCGCATTTTCAAGTTATCTCTGGCCCAGTGCTCTAGTCAGCCATGATGAATTGACCAAAGCTGGGACCCAAGAATGCGCCCCGTTCCCACTGCTGTCTAAAGGAACCAGTGTAACCACACAGGGTGCTCTCAGAGTTCATGTTCTGAAAGGACATGCAGGTGGAGCCCCAAGTCAAGCACAAATCCACAGTGGAATGGGCCCATGGGAATGATGGCAAAAATGGTAAAATCTAGAAAGAACTAATGTCTGTTCACTTAAAACAAAGCAAAGCAAAAACAAACTTTCTATTTTTCTAAGTATTAACATAATATAAAGTGGGGGGGGGGGCTTAAAAAAGAAGAGACACAGGTCTCTGCTTGGGGAGGAGGACACCACTTAGGTAAAGCTGAATTCTTCAACTTCCAATTTAGTTCCATTCATTAAGAAGAATGATCTTCACCATGAGGAGAACCACCTTGGGTAAGAAAGACTGAAAGTCAGGATGGGGAGGAAGGTGAGCTCCAGGCCCAGGCGTCAGCACCCTGGGGCCCAGAGGAAATGCAGAGATGGGCTCAAAAAACCTCTCAGATGGTCTCTGAGGAATCAGAGAGAACAGAAAAAATGTCGAAATATTGGACACTGGCAAACAGCATCCCAATTTTCTAAAGAGAGGAAAAACAGATTCCATGAACCACAAGACTGGACAGCCCACCACCAACCGCGGCCAGAAAGTCAGCTGCATCTCAACGAGGCAGGCTTCAGAGCATGCAGGAAAGGAAGCACTACAGAAGAGGCAAGCTCTCCGGAGAAAAGGGTAGGTCCAGGCAATTCACTGAATAAGCAGCACAAGTGGCTAAGAAACAGAAAAGATCCCCCAAATCACGGACATATGCATTAATATAATCAGATACTACTTATGCAGCAGCTCAGCAAAAATTTAAAAAACAGATAATATCAAATACTGGCCAAGATGCAGGGAAATAAGCACTCTCACTAGTGAAACATACAGTTTTCTTTAAATAGCAATTTGGTGATACTGATTAAAATTAAAAATATACTGTATTTTGACCCAACAATCTGAAAGACTCATATATGCAGAAAGTTTTTCATTACAGGACTATTTTTTAAAAAATATTCTTGAACAGAGAACTTGATGTAGGGTAGAGATGAATATGGACTTTTTGGATTGGGAGAGTTGTAAGTGATGTCATTATAGGACTATTTACAACAGTAAAAGATCAGAGAAAAACTACCCCAAGTTTAGCATATGCTTAAATAATTATGGTACTATGAAATACCATGTAATAGTCAAAAAATAAAGTCGACCCATATACACTGGTATAGAATGATTATCAAGATGTGATCATTCAAGTGCATATATGTATACAAATGAATAAAAAATAGTGTAATAGAATATCCATTAACCTAGTAATGAAAATGACCTTGGGCAGGTGATGAAGGATATTTTTGTCTTTACCTTTTTGCATTTTTAAAATAAGAAGTCTTCATTTATTGTCTAGTTATATATTAAACAAATATATATAAAACAAAAAGTAGGACAGTGAGTTCTGGGGACCAGCATGTGCACTAGAAGACATGTCAAACCTAAAATGTGTCATTGCTTCTCCTGGGATGACAAAGGAAACGCAATGGCACGATGGACAGAGTGCCCGCAGGCTAACGGCAGAGCTTCCCCATCATTATCATGGACACATCAGAAAATTCAGGCTGGAAAACAATGCTGGGAGGTCCAGGCAAACTTGACTGCAGCTCAGAGTTACTGATTCAGAGCTCATGCGGAAACTTCCAGGACAGTCTTTAGTCCTGACCCGTCTAACACATTCATTCAATTCTCTCAATCTCTCACTCACTCAACAGACATTTGTGTCATCATGCAGAAGATCCCAACACGACTGCCTGAAGCCTAGAATACAGAAAAGTTGGAGGAAAAATTTAAAAAATAGCATGATAGCTCGGCCGGAGCGGCTCAGTGGATTGAACGTTGTCCCATGCACCAAGAGGTCACTGGTTCGATTCCCTGCTGGGGAACATGCTCAGGTTGTGGGCTTGATCCTCAGTAGGGGGTGTGCTGGAGGCAGCTAATAGATGTTTCTCTCTTTTCAATGTTTCTCTCTCCTCTCTCTCTCCCCCCCCACCTTCCTCTTTAAAAATTGATAAGAACATTTAAAAAAAACACACACAGCATGACAAACGCTCGACTGAGGTGTTGTGGAAGCTCTAAGGGTAGGGCCTGACCCCAACCTGACCTCTGAAAGGAGGTCACCCTCTATACCGAAGGTCTGTTCCCTAAAGAAAGAGCATGAAATACCACTAATACCTAAAATCACGTACACATGGATTGGAAAAGGTTGACAAGCTAAAACACTATGTGAAACCCATTTGCAGTCACTGAACAATCCCACCTTTAGGCTGCTGGAGGCCCCACCAAAAGAAGACCACTGTCAAAGAGGCCTCTAAGCAGAGCAAGGCACCTGGATATTGAAGAAGGGAGCCCATGTCAGATGAGGACTGGTTAAGGGCACACCCTGACTTTTCCAGGGACACCCAACTCTCTCCGAGCCCCTTTGCTTTTTCTCTCAGGGAATCAACCATAGCCAACAGATTCAGGGATTTCAAGATCCCTGACTGTACCCTTGGTTTGCCCACTGGAGGGAAGGGGCAGCCAGAAGGTAGCCCCCTGGTCAGCCCCCACAGCATGGTGGGCAGTCTGTGGCAACTTTCAGTTTTCAAGATCTCTCTCCTCCCCAAACTGGTGCCAAGGTTGTCCCTTCAACCACACACAAGAGAAGAAAAAAAGCAGCACACACCAAGCCCCAAGGCTGTGTACCCCCGGCAGTCAGGTTGCCCTCCCAGGCCTGCGTGTTTCCCCATTTAATGAAGAGTGGACTAGACCACTCCCAGCGGACCTTCCAGCTGTGACAGGCAGCACTTGTTGCATTCCCCTCCCGGAAGAATTCATTGTTAAGAAGGACTTCAGAGAGAGGGCAGCACTTAATTCAAGTGAATGAACGGTGAAATCTGGGTCCCCACCCTAGGATAGGAAGTGCTCTGACAGGGACCTTCCATTGAGACTGACCTCTTCATTGACGACCGAGACAGCACCTGTGCAGCCTGGTTCATGGCCCTGATCCAAGCGTTCATGTCCTCCTGGGTGTCGGCACTAAAGTAGTAGGTTCTCATGCCCGACTGCTCCGCTGGAGAGCTCCCAGTGGAGCTATTAAAGATGAGCGCTCTCATCCCCGCGTGCACAGCCTGTAGGATGGAGACAGAAACCCAGGGCAGAGAGTTTAGCACACATTCCACTCCCAGGAGCAAAACCAAGGAGACCTTCGGGCCATGCTCTCCCCTCTACCAGGCTCAAAGTCCAAGCACCACCCAGCCTGTTTCCACACCAGGAAACGCCACACCTGAATTCCCCTCTCTTAGTGCAGCCAGGCCCCGGGACAGCTGTGTCTGTCCCCCATAAAAAAGCTGTGCAGGTGTTACCTGTTCCTGATTTATCTTACTCATGCATAGGGAGGGACACACGTGAGCAAGACTTTAAATAAACCCTCATTCCGTGGAAGCTGCCTCTCGGGAATCTGTTTGGGTTCTCCTGAAGCACATGGTTACTGGCACTGAGTCAAAAATCAGCTGCAACAGCAGGCAGCTTGGTGCAGATATTCACTGCACTTCACAGCCTGGGCATGGACTGTGCTGTGTGCCCATCAAAGAGGCTGCTGTTCTGTCTCTCCCAAGAGGCACTACAAAGTTTGACAGAGCTGGCATTTGGCTGAAAATCTCCTGCACCTACTATGTGCCAGGAAGCGCTGGGGTGCTTTCACCGGCACACTTGCAAAGAGCCTGTGAAGAGACACCAGGCGTGACCAAGAGAGACACCTGGGACAGTTCCCAAACGAGAGGCTACACCAGCTGCTCCCCTTGTGCTCTGGTGAGCAGGGGCCTGTCTTTTAAATTTGCAAGGAAGAGCCTTCCAAATCTACATAGGAAGCTGGTGTTTAAAAAAAAGAAAAGAAAAGATTTACTGAATGACCACTATGGGTCTCTTGGGCACGTCCATGAATTTAATCTCATTTTAATCCCAACAGCCTTGTAGAGGTAGAGACAGAATCTATTTTACAAATGTGGCAAGTGAAGGTCTGAGATGTTAAGTGACTTTCCCAGATTTCCACGTTCAGTAACAGATTATTCAATGCATTTATCATTACCTGCCATTCTGTATTTTACATTATACGTAATAGAATATAAACGCAATGAGAGTAGGGATTTGTGCACTGTGTTCACTACTGTATCCCAGCAACAGTGCCTCGCATGTAGTAGGTGCTCCATAAATACTTGTTGAACGAATGAAGAGCTGGAGCCGGGATTTACACCCAGATCTGTCTGACTCTGAGTCTAGGCTTCTCTGTACAATGCTCCCAGGTCCTACTCAGAAATGAGTATGATGATACATATCCCTGGTCTGATAGTCCGGATCCAGAATGAAAGGCAGATCCCATGCAAGGATCAAAGGAAACAAAATGAGAGAACGAATTAGAAGCTGAAAAATGGCAAGCTTCTAGAATCACGAATGGTCATGAATGAAACCCCTCAGCATTTACTTCTCCCCACACCGACACCTAGGTTTAAAATGCATATTAAATATGGGTTTCTGACATCCACATATCTGGATTCATCCAGCCCGCGGCCAAGAGAGTACAGGCAAATGTGCTCTGCAGCAACGGGTCCCTACAGTGACCAAAGCAAACCTGATTTCCTTCTTTGCATGCATAAGGGGACACCTACGGCCCCAGGAAGGAATCCTCCTGGTTTAGCAAGGTGGAGATGTAGCAATTAGAATAGAATGAGAAGAGATCTTTGCAAGTCTTATTGTGAATCAGCAGAAATTCTTGGAAAAGTTCTCCTGGAAAATGACCCCATAAGATCTCTGACACCCTTGCCTGGCCGGTGTGGCTCAGTGGTTGAGTGATGACCCATGCACCAAGAGGTCACCGGTTTGATTCCTGGTCAGGGCACATGCCCAGGTTGTGGGCCAGATCCCTAGTAGGGGGCATGCAGGAGGCAGCCAATCAATGTTCTCCCTCATTGATGTTTCTAGCTCTCTCTCCCTTTCCTTTCCTCTCTCTAAACAAACAAAAAATAATAATCAATAAAGAAAAAAAAAGATCTCTGACACCCTCTCCCAGACTTTCTGCCCAACCAGAGACAGTTCTGGGACAGGCACTCACCCCACCAGACACAAGGCCACCCACAAAGAAGGGAACCCTCAAGGATATCAGAGAGGAGGTCCCTGCTGTACAGCATTCATGGACATAGCCTTGTCCAGGAAAGAAACATGGGACACACTTCCAACATGAGGAATTTGTATGTCTGACTGCAAATGGGCTTTGGGAGTGATATCCATCATTACAGAGGAGTTACACATGATCCGAAACATGCCCTCAGTCACTAACAAATTGCCAGTATGTGCAAGGCCCAGCTGCCCAACTACATTCTGTCTGTTCTTGGGCATATTAGATGTTATTAACTGTGAAGCCAAGAAGAACCGGGAGTTCCCCTTCCTCCTGGCCTAGTGACCCAAGTCCATAGTACCCTGAGCCAGAGGAAGACATCAGAGCGAACATGACAGGAAGTAGTATCTCGAAGAGGCTCCCTTCCCCTCTGCTCTTCACTTTCCAGTGAACACAATGCTGCTCGACAACTGTGCACGTCTGAATAGAAGCCAGGCCTGAAGGCAATCAGGATGAGCAAAGGAGGTTCACTGGACAAACATAATGCCCCTGGGGTATGACTGCTCCCCGGCTCTTAGGACTCAGGTCTTGATAGAACAGAGTGAATGGAATGTTCGTACCTCAAGCCCCCACTGTCAGCCGGCAGCACAGAGACCTTGTGGGGAAATACAGGAGCCCCCGGAAGGCCAGAGCCCAGGATTAACCGATTCATTCTCGTAGTCACTCAACAATAATTGGTCACTTATGAAGCTACACCAGAAGTTGAAGAAACAGCCTTACAAGACCGAGACCGTTTACAGCCCAGTAACTACCACTGTAGCAAGTGCTGTCAAGAAGTTGACGATGCTGTGAGAAAAGGAACAGGGGAGCCCGGCCTGACCAGGAGAAGGACTCACCTACGGAAATGACGTTTAAGCTGCCGTCTACAGAAGCATCTATTTTAGGAAGAGTAGCATAGAGGGGTTGTGTGCTGCCCCAAGTTGGACAGGAGTACAGTATGTTTCAAGGCTGAGGCCAGCATGACTGGCAAGAGGAGCGAGATGACATGAGGCTACTGCAGTGGGCAGGGCCGGGTCACTGGGGCCTTGTGGTCACATTAGGGCTTTGTCTCATTTATAAGAGCAATGGAAGCAATTAAATGGCTTAAGCTGGGGAGTGCTGTGATCATATTTTGTTAGGAAAAACTACCCTGGCTGCAATAGGGAGAAGCAGTTAGAGCTGGGCAGGGGCAGGTGAGGGGACACGGGTCAGGAGGCCATGACAGGACTGCAGGGGGGAGATGGCGGTGGGCACAGAGGAGAGGAGTGGACAGGGGGTGGAGAGAACTGGCAGGTGACATCAGCAGGACCTGGTGATGGACTGGATATGAGTGGCGAGAGAACGGCCAGGGTCAAGGATGAGACCCGCAGGTTCGTGCCTCGCAGACAGTGGGGTCCTCTGGTTAGACTGGGAAAGGAACTCCTCATGCCCATGCTTTGTGCTGACTGGCACGGTGAACTGGGCTTTTGGAGTCAGCCTGAGATCCACAGTGGGCTCTGCCTCTTACCCCAGGGCAATCCTGGGCAAACCATTCCACCTCATGCCTGTTTCCTCAGCTTGACAATAAAACCGTGGGCAACAGCAGTCTTTATGTGTGAGGCCATGGGAGGACTGAATGAGCGAACGTGCTCGGGGCGCTCGGCACAGCCGGCCATTGTAAGACTCAAAGCGGTTAGCTGATGTTCCTGTAGGAGCAGTAGCTTGAGTAACCTAAGGTGGTTGACTGATAGAGTTTTCTAGAAACTTGAAGAAGTCTTCTCTACCCTCTCTTGCATCACTAATTGATAGAGGACTAAACGTAAACTACAAGTAAGCCTTCACTTAGGAGGTGAGAGCAGTGTCCCCTACCAAGACTCCTACCACAGATGACTGGTCCACATGGCCCGTCTGGAGATCGGGACTAGCCCATCTACCCAGGCAGAATCACCGAACCCGCCGAAGGGCTGGTTTTCCAGTGAACGCTCTGGAGAGGGACGTCGACCAGGCACTGCAGTGACACGGGAGCTGTGGATGTGCAGAGGGAAGGTACCTGACCTGTCCGGAGGGCCCAGGGAAGGCTCCCGGAGAGGGTCACCCTGAGCAGAGACCTGAAGGCCAAGCAAAAAGTGAGGAAAGGGCATTCTGGGCTGTGGCTGAAGCTCAAGCAAAGGCCTGTGGGTGAGAAATGTCCTGAGCCTTCAGGCAGTTGCGTATGGCTGGAGGACATGTGGAAGATGACAGCAGCTGAAGAACCGGGCTCTGTGAACCAAGACTGGGCGTTCCCCTGTAGGCAGGGGAGCACACCTGAACACACGTGCAATTCCGGAAGCGTGAGGATGGGCCGGAGGCCACGGCGCTTGGAGGCCGAAGGCAGCACTCCAGCGCACGCGCTCTGTGCCAGGCATGGCTCGTGCAGTCAGCCAGTGACCGAGGGAGCGGTGGCGGTGCTGACACGGAGCAGTGACAGGGAGAGGAGGAGACAGATGTGAGAGACGCAAAGCAACACTGAGGTGGAAGAGAAGGGCAGCTTTCTGGTTCTCTTCTCATTCCCTAATGACCCCAAGCAAGGCCTCTGTCCTTTTTATTGTTGTATCTCCAGGACCTACATCCTGCCAAGGAAAATCACAGAACACAACACACGTTTGTTGAATAAATAAGTGAAAAACCTCATCTCTTGGCTGGTCTTCAGCCAGAATTCAGCAGGTAGTCTTAATCTTTTGGGGGTCATGAACCCTTTTGACAGTTTGGTGAATCTTATGAACTCTTCTCACAAATAAGATAAATATATTATGTTGAAATATAGTTATCAAATATTTTTAAACATTGTGAGACAGTGATACAGGTATTTCTTTAATAACTCATCATAAGCCCTGGCTGGTTTGGCTCTGCGACCGAAGGGTCATGGGTTCGATTCCAGATCAAGGGCACGTACCTGGGTTACAGGTTTGATTCCCAGATCTGATCAGGGTTGTGAAGAAGGCAACCAACTGATGTGTTTCTCTCACATTGATGTTTCTCTTTCTCTCTCTCTCTACTTCCCTCCCTACATTATGTATGTAATATTAACAATACGTACATAAATAATGCATCATAAAACAAATGCAGTAATAATTATTGTGATTTCAAAGTGGGGAAGCTCATAAATGATATTTCAAGATATTTACATTAATTATAATGTGACGTGAGGATCTTTCTGATTTCTAGTGGCGATCAAGGCACAGGTGCTGCTGATTGATACCTGTGAAGGTCTACTTTCTTAATCAAAGGAAACATTACAGGTTAAAAAGGGAGATATGATGTATCCACGGACACGAGGGGTCTGCAGGCTCAGGTCAGGACCTTGCGATCGTGCGCGAGGGAGAATGGGTCCAAGGGAGGGAGTAAAGGCACTTTCCCCACTGAAGACCCTTGGACCCTTGGCTGAGTGGGGATGTTTGCTGCGCAGAGCCTGGATCCAAAGGGCCAAGCTTGCTCAGAGGTGACCACAGGCCGAGGGTGGCTGAGCACCCAACAGGAGACTTTTGGGGAGGTGCCCCAGCTGAGCCGGCAGAACAGGGTGACCGTCTCAGAGAGCCCTGCTTGGCTCATCCTGCAGACCTGGCTGTGCTCAGGGTCCATTGGCACCCAACCTCCCTGGTCAAGAGTAGGGCCTGCCAGGCTGCAGGCACAGTTGGGGGAAAAAAGACCAGGAGAGGACCATATGACCTTTCAGTCTGCATCTCTATCTACCACCACAGATAATGCGGAACGATCCCAAGCAAGGTGCCCTAACAACAGTCAGAGAAGTTCACAGGTGCACTGACATTAGAAACAGGCCTAAGGCTCAGGACAACAAATTGTGCATTCCTCATGATGCCCAAGAACGTGGATCCTGACCTGCCCAGGGGGCCCACTCTCTGGCCCCTAAAAGAAAGATGCTGCAGCTCAAAGGGGAAGGGTACCCCTTCATCCTCAGGAAACCACAGCCTTTCTGGAGAAGCAGCTGAACACCACCAGGTCTGACAGCAGTCGCTTTTCTCTGCTCTCAGACCCTCAGCGTCTCTCCTAAAGGTCTCCCCAAATACATGCATGCCTTCTGTCTCCCAGACAAAAGATTTAGGGAACAGTCTTAGTAAAGTCTAAGGAAAAAAACAGTTTTTTAAAGAAAAGAATATGACACATAAAAGATGTTTTCCTAGAATCTATTTTCACAACTCCCAATTAAGTGTTGAGATATATAAATATACTTATGATCAGCTACTTTGAGAATATTCCAAATGCTGTCCCCCGAAAAATCACATACGACATCATTACCCTGATTGCTTGCCCAATGGCAACACTTGACCCTAAAAAGGAAGGTTTTCTGAGGAAGGCTTTCAGGTTGCAAAAGACCAGTCTGAAATCTATTGAACAAAATGCTTTCAGAGCCAGCAACAAGCAGGAAAGGCTCCTGAACTGTTAAATAGAAGAGTATTGCTAAAATGATAACAATGAACGTTAAGTCAAATCACCTCCTACCTCTGACAATGTGTGTGCAGGAGGTAACCAAAATAAGAGGAAGAGAAAGAAATTGTTTTCCCTCTCTGTAATTCAATTGAAAGAGGATATAGTTCAGGTTTGAATTCTGTCTCTATCATCTTCCAGCTTTGTTACTATGGGCAAGTTTCTTCAGCGCTCAGATCCTCGTGTTCCTGACCTACAAAATGAAGCTAATAATACTGACCTCCCCACAAGCATTAACTGAGCTAACACGAATAAAAGCACCTCTCAAATCATAAAAGGTTTTGCAGATATAAGGCAACACTATATAATGCAACATGAAGGGGAGAGGATCCAAGAATGAACCCACAATTCTGGAGTCGTAGGGACAGCAGTAATCAGGGGAAAGAGAAGGAAAGCTCACACCTGAGGATGGACAAAGCTGAGCATCAACTCAGGAAGGAAAGATGGAGGAAAATGAGACTTGACTTTCCAACAGCCCCAATGGACCCCAGATCCAGATGCTGATGACGACGATCACTTGCCAATGGTGTTGTTGACACTGTGTACCAACACTTTCCTTTAGCCCTGCCAGAGAATTGAAGGTGTCTTGTCATGTGCTTTCCATGGTCCTTTAACTATTGGTGGCTGGAAAACTTGACTCATTCAATCTCTGCTTTAGTACTGACTGCCTAAAACTCATCTTGCACCCCCACAATGAAAGAGCCAAGCTATAGAAGAGGGTAGGCAGGAGACCTCACCCCGGCTTGAAATGCATGTCATTGCTTTGTATCCTGAGCAGCATGAGGGGTGCTTCCCCGTGGCCATTGGCACTGGCAGCACCTGCTTCAATGAGATTTCCACTCCTAATGCCAATGATGTGGACCTTCAACCCATCCCACCCTCACTATCCCTAGAGATCCAAGAAATATCAGCAGGGAAAGAATTGTGGAGGCCTCAAGATTCCCCAAGTTTAGGCCTGACCACACCTGGAGCCTCCACACCTGGCTGTGAAGATGCCAGAGGATGGCCAGCAATGATCACGGACCCACTCACTCCAAATGGCATGGTGACGAAGGAAACAGAAAAGGGTTTTACTGGTAAAGGGATTTCCCTAGGAATCTTCAGTGACCCAGAAAATAAGCCAAATTTTATTCTAATCGCTTTTCAAAAGATAAAGTGGACAAACCTGAAAATCTCTTCAACGGCAGGCTCCCTGACCCTCAATGCAAGTTTTCATAATATAACTGATACAAATTCATTATAAAGGATCATCATTTGCACTACTTGGTTGGATGCTAGTCAGACTGGGTGATTACAGTGATAAGAAAGTATGAGAAGGGCTGTGTCCAATTTGCAACCACAGGACTAGAAGAGAGATGAAAAGAGGGGTCTAAATATTTGAGCAAGGCTGGGGGACTCAAAAGTTCAGATACAAATGAAAGTACTTGTGATGTGATATTACTCTTGCGTAAAGAATTTGTAACCATTAACATGAGCCTGAAACTCTCTAGCTTAACTTCTTCCCCCTTCCCCATAAAAAGAACCGCTTTTATAAAGCCTTTTTGGGGAAATTTCATAGGATGAAATTTGAGCCATAGAGGAGAGGGAGCAATACCTTAAAGGAATACTTGCGACTTATGCGGTCCTCAGGGCCCACAGGCGATATGACGTAGCTGGGCAGAGGGATGCTCCCAAGGACCACTTCTTCTCGGCTGTCTTTGAATGGAAAAACACATCAGAATAACCTCTGGGGCACTTTCCTTGGGCTGGTCCATCCCACTGCCCTAGTTCAGAGATCCTTCTCTCTCCCCCATGACTGCAGTCACTGATGGTCCCTTCGGCTATTTCCCGGGGACCTTTGTGCTCAGGCTAGGACTACAGGTGACTCAGACAGGGCCCTCTCCCCAAGGGCTGAAACAGACATGTAAACACGCTCAACTCCACCTGCTAACTCCTGAGATACAATAGTATCTCAGGTGCTTCGGGAACACAGAGGCGGGGTGACAGTCTGGGGAAGTCGACAGGCTCCAGAAGGTGGTTATTTGAAGTGTTCTAAAGGATGGGGAAGGGCATTCTGGGTAGCGCAAACCTCACAGGAAAAGTTGGAGCATGTGTGAAACATCCTACCTCTATGCTCATCCTCCTCCAAACCATCTTCATTGCCAGGGGCTCCTTCCTGACAACAGCAGGTCTGTCCCTCTCCTCCTCAAAGGCACTTTGGACACAGAAGGAAGCCCAGCTTCCTCTGCCCTTCCCCGCCTCCTGAGCCTCATCTCCCAGAGCACCTCCACGCGAGACTCACTCCGGCCTCACAGGCTTGACATTCCACTTTCTTCTGCTCCTGGAACTTTTACTAAAGTGACCTCCTCTACTAGTAATGTCCATTCTCACCCCCCACAAGCAAAATAGTGCCTATCCTTAAAAGCCCAACTCAAATCCCATCTCTTCCAAGAAGCCTCCCCAAGTGCTCCAAAATGCAATTAACTTCTGACCCCCGCTAAACTGCCTAAGTCCTTGAAGGTCTTCTAAAGTGCCTATCACAGTCTACTCATCTTAAAAGTAAGCTCTCTCTTCCTCCAAATCTTGAGGCTCACTTTCTTTCTCAGCATACACAGCCTACTCTATGTACATAACGTTCATAGGGCCAACTCAATCCACCAGGTGTCCATCCAATATCCCAGTGGACAGACAAATCCAGATAACAGGTTACAAAATACAGTGGTTTACCTGTACTTCCCACCCCTCCAGATTATGTCAAAGGTGTGCCTATGTCCTAAGGGGGGGTGGGGCAGAAGCTGACAACTCCAGGTCTTGAGATCCTAAGTAGTAGTAAACCAGATCTTGTTGGTTTTCACTCAATAAATGGAACTTTCAGGGCTGGGACTTGTAAAAATGACGTCACCAACCATCCATATTTAAAGTGAGCGCTTTGGCAGGTCAGCAGGTTATTACTGAGCTCAGTCACGGAATCTGAGACCACCATTTGCATTACCCCCACCCCAGCACAGAGCCCTGGTGGCTCACGCCTCGGCTCACCTTTATAGTAAAACAAGCAATAGTCAGCAAGCACAAACCACCTCCTTTTCCACAGCCGCATCCCAGAACTGTCCTGCAAAGCAAAGAAAACAAGTCAGGGCAATGTCTGAGCATCCTGGTCCTCCTCCCATCTTGACTTGCCCATATTCACTCTGTCTTTCAATAAACTAATGAATTTTTATTGTACAGACATTCTTTCACTAGAAAATTAAATTTTAGTCCTGCCGGTGTGGCTCAGTGGTTGAGCTTCGACCCATGCACCAAAAGGTTGCCGGTTTGATTACTGGTCAGGGCACATGCCCAGGTTGTGGGCCTGATCCCCAGTGAAGGGCATGCAGGAGGCGGCCAATCGATGTTCTCTCTCATTGATGTTTCTATCTCTCTCTCCCTCTCCCTTCCTCTCTCTCTAAAATCAATAAAGAAAAGATTTTTTTAGGTGATTGTGAACGTTTTAAAAAAGATATGGTCATGGTAGAAAAATAGTAGTGTTTTAGGGTCACTTTTCTCCCAAACCTAAGAAAATTCCAGAGCCTTTTTAGCTATTAAAATTATCTTCCTTCTGCAAAAGTTTTTGACAGGCTTTAATTAAAAAAAAATAATTCTGACAGTTTCTAAACCTAACAACATGAAATTTGTTCATTCTCTACTTACTGAAGTGCTAAAAACAAATTTAATTTGCTGAGTTCCTCTCCACCCTTCCATACCTGGTTCAAATGTCACTTCCTCTGGGAAGCCTTTTAGGATTCCCCCAAACACAGCTACACTCTCTGCTGTGTCCATAGCACTCCACCGAGACCTGTTAGTCATAGCACAGCCAAGGGGCTGGGGGTGGGGAAGAATTATTTACAGTTCCTTCCCTCCACATTTCAAAGGAGCATCCTTTTGTTTAATGGGCACAGAGATGCAAATGGAAAAAGTCAGAGGGTTAAATTACTCAGGCGAGAGAAGAGATGGGCAGAGGTAAGAAAGGAGAGTGAGAACAGAGCTGTGAGGGAAGGGGTCTCCTTAAGAGAGGGATGGAGCTGTGGGTGTTGCCATGGAGAGCAGAACTGGGGGGACAGATTTCAAGGAGACTTTTAGGAGTTTATTCCGTGGTGTGTGCAATGTAATGCCCTCCTGTCTTCCCATAGATCCTTTAGAAGTTTACATCATTGCTTTTGGAGCTGGATTTGTGTTTTTTCAGATAATGTGATATGTGAGGGCATGCGCTGGGTGAGGACATGACACGTGAGACATGTCCATTTGTGGCTCCCTGCAGACCACCAGGCCTTCGAAGGCAGGAACCACATGGCATTCATCTTGTATCTGCTGTGAGACCACCGAGAACATGGCGGGCACCTGGTGAAGGAATGTGGGGAGCAAGGAGAGAAGGAAGGAGACGAGAGGGACAGTCTCTAGCCCTGGGCACTCACAGCCTATCCATGGCCAGAACTGATGGGGAGGACCGAGATGAAGGGGGTCTCAGGGGGACAGAACTGACAGGGCTTCCTGGATGGCTGGATGTGGGAGGAGGACGAGCTGGTGACGGCACTGAGGTTTCTAACCTGTGATCCAGAAAAGCAGACTGGGGGCGGCGGGGAAGGTGAGTGGTGAGGAGCAATGAGCTGAGTTTGGTTGACTTGGGAGCTAGATATGTGTGCTGGACTGGGAAAGAGGAAACGAGAGGTTTTTCTGCCAAATGATAACAAAGACTCTTTAACATCAGGAAGGCAAGTGCTAGCATGAAGGCTGGATTCATGTTGCCCCCCACCCCCCATAAGCACCTGGGTCCCAGGGCAGCAAACTGCAACAGGGTCAAAGTGGTCCAGTGGGTATGGGAAGGGGAGCTGTAGCCAATGAGTAGACAGTCCACTCATAAATATGAACAGCAAATTGCTCAGCACGGTGGGCAAAACCTATCTGCTTCAGACAAACTCAGGAACAGAACACGTATTATGAGCCTGTACCCAGCTCGGGTAGAAGAGGACAGGGAAAGGAAAGCAATCAGCAGGTGCATCTCCATCTCCCCTTCCCCCCTCACCTGTTTGTGCAGCCAGCCCCTCACCACCACCGGAACATTGAGGTTCCTCCGAATGGCCTGGTCCCTCTTCCCGAAGCTGTGGACCTTATTGCTGGACTTGATGATCTAGGAGTAAGCAGATGCAAACTCTAGCAGCAGGGAGGATTTAGCGAGGCACAGAAAGCACTTGTGTGATGAGGGCTGCAGGCTCCTCTGCCTTCCTCGAAGTGCCAGCGCCCTTTGATCAAAAGAGCAGCAAGGAGACATGGACCAGCATGCACATGGCCACAGCACTCTAATTAAAAAGCGAGTCCAAGACCTGGCAAGCTTCCCATCTGGGTCACAGAGAAAAAAAATTTAAAGGGATATTTCAATCAATTTTCACCAGCAGCTGTTGGCCCCAATATGTCCTATGACTTTCTGGAACAAAGCTACTTTTTGGTCACAGACTTTGCCAATTACCAGGTATGTATCCCTCCCCGCTGGGTTCGGTCCTCAGCACGGTGTCCTCTGCAATGCCAGCTCTGTTCCCTGTCCTCAGGCAGTGCTCCCAAATCTTGAGCACAGACACCGCTGGGCCCTTTTCAAGGGCCCGTCAGTCACAGATTTCTCCAGGCCATCTCTAACACACAGGTGGCCTTTCCAAGATACATCTGGAAAATGAAGACTGCATCCAAGGGCCTTGCTGTCAGTCCTGGTTCTGTGAGCAATCACCTGTTTCCTTGGACAAGTGACATACCCCCAGCTGGCCTCAACTTCCCGCTCTATCATCATGAGAGAATACTTCTCATGTGTCTCCTTCACAAAACTACGGTGAAGGTCAAACTTTCTTCTGATTATAGAGGGGCTTGGCAAGTACAAAAGAGGGGACAGAAGGAAGGAGCGGCCAGGAGCTCACCTTGGGGCCAGGCTTGGCCTCCATGGTGGAAGTGGTCCCGGTCGTGGACGTTTCGCTGACCATGCTGGACGGCCTTTGGTTTCTCTCTTGCTTTGACATATGTGGATTTGGCCTGTGAGGAGACGTAAGAGAATCTAGTGAATAAGTGCCTGACTGCAGTAGGAAGTGGAATCTGAGACTGATTCCTGGTTAGAACTGGTTGACGGGCCTTAGGCAACTTGGACCGACCTTTTGGAGACCACCTGCCTCCAAATTGCAGCCTGGGGGCCACCATGCCCAGCCTACCCATGTGCTTCAGGGCATCACGAGGATGACAGATGGGCACATCTCCACAGCCTGACACCCCACAAAGGGGCAAAGGCAGTCATCCTCACCAGCTGTCCTACAGTCCCCACATTTGCTCCCTTACTTGCATGTCTATGGCAACTGCCCCATTACATGGGCACACAGTCACACATGGTTCATCACAGCAAGAGCAATCCATACCCCTTACTCACATGGACAAACGCACGCACGCACACACACACACACACCTCCATTTCTCTGGCTCACAAAAGAAGCTGTGTATAATTAGTAACAAGAAATCACTTGTGAACACATCCACACCCCCAGATACACACAGAGAATTGCTTGCATAAACGCCAGTAGGACTTGCCTCCCAAAATAGACTACTCAACAAAGAGTCCTATTCTGGGAACACTCCAGCTGCCCCAAAATAGAGCCACAGGCGATATTAACCCCTTGTGCCATGCGTGGAGAGCAAGAAGAATGAAGCATGCCTGGAACCCCAATGGGGATCCCCTGGGTGTATCCCCATCAGCATCCAGTGACATGTTTCCCACCGAGATGCTCCACTTGCCCTGGGAGGACCAGAACTTTGGGAACATCTTGGTCCAACACTCAAGAGACACTGTAGAGAACCATTCTCACCTGCCTCCACAGAGCCCCAGCATTTGCCAGAGTTTTCAAAGCAGCGGGTGGCAAATGCCTCCACACAAATTCAGTATTATCCTTGAATGGCCCGGGGCTGATTCCCCAAAGCTGCTAACTCCAGGATCAGTGAGCCTTTCTCAAAGCAGTCTCAGGAGTGGCTGGGCTGTCCACTGCTCTGACAGGCAACAGGATCCAGGCGGCAGCAGTAAACTGAGGCTCTTCACCTGAGGAGTGGAGAGCATCTGACCTGGAGGCCTGGGCCAGGACCCGGTGGAGATGGAGGATCCAGGCAGGACACAGCTGAGGACGAAGCACTCTGATGGCCTTTTCCAGCCTCACTTCTACAGAGGTTCTAGTTTCCACCTTGGAGATAAAATATGCTGCTTCCTTGAAAAACCACTGCTGCTCAAAGGATACGTGATCCTTCCCATGCCCCAAACCAGAGCTCCGATGGCCTGCACCATTGGGGCAGCTCTTCCCGGAAAGACCACGGCAGCAGGCACCAGCTTTCCAAGGGGCTGGGTCCTGCCGGATGTTGGCAGCTGGAGGTGCAAATCCCTTCGGGCAGAAGGAGCGGGCTCTTTATCAGCTCAGGCGCTCACTCTAGCTTCCCCGCCCCTGGCCTCCATCCCAGCCAGACTTTTTCACTGCTCCCCACTGAGAGAATGTGGTACACTCACTGCTGGTGAGGCTGTGGGAGGGGCTCTGAGAGTCTGCCTTGTCCAGGCCCTGCCTCCAGACAGAACTATGTTCCAACGCCTCCCTGGAGCCTGGTCTTGCCTGACTTTTCAAATTTCTAAGGTGTGAGACAAGAAGAAATCGTGGGCGACCTCAGTTATGGCAGCCATAGCTCTAAGCTAAATTTCAGGACATCAAGACCAACAATGAAAAAGGTTTGCTTGATAGTTTATCAAGTTAAATAGGCGTATATAGAATATTTGAGAAATATAAGAAAAAAGCTGAAAGAAAAAAAAATCAGCATAGGCCCACTACCCAAAGGAAAATCATTTTTAATACTTGGTATATTTACTTTCACTCTCTTTTATATGCCTGTTTTTTTTTGGGGGGGGGGGGGCTTTTGTTTTTATATAACTGTGATCATACTGTGTTTATGATTTTGCATCTTGATTTAAGGAAACTTATAATAAACATTTTCTCCATTCCTTTAATCTCATCCACATCATTTCAAATGACTGCATCAGATTCCATCCATTAGATGTGCCGTTCGTCCTCTGTGGGACAGAGGAAAGGTGATCTGGACTTGTGACTGGCCCAGGAAATCCAGGACAGATGCCACTTTTGCCATTTCTGCACCTTACAATCTTGAGCCCTAACTTGAATCATCCCCCTGCACTCAAGGCCCCCGGTCTCCTCCCCACACAAGCTTCTGAAATGTTGGCTGGCCAGGGAGCTCTGGGGCTCGCACAGGAACAAAGCCGACTGCCCTGCAGCCGTGGGAGTGAGGGGACAGGGCACGACAATCACCCAGGGAGCCAGCGGTGAACACACTTCAGCTGGAGAAGGACTGGATGAGGCTCCAGCACTGACATCAGTGAGGGATCAGGCAGTGAGGAGCACATGAAGACAACCCCAGTCTTCATGACCACAGAGACCTCAGCTGAGACACAGCCAGAGAAGGCTGGCTTGTTAGAAAAGACGACTGCCGTCCAAACGAAATCTTCCCGCAGGGAGGGGACCATGTTGCCTCCACAAATGAGGAGTGGATCTTCACCAGGGCTGCCCATGGGCAGGGACAGCTCCCAGCTGAAGCAACAGATTCAACCACTACCTGGTCGCCCTTGACCTGGCTCTGTTAGAACAAGGTGCACACAGCTACCCACTCAGCCAAGTAGCAAGGTCTGTCTTCAGAGAAGGTTCCCCTGAATCTCAACATGGGCAATGAATGATCTTGTAGGTCCTCCATGGGTGAAGAAGACTTCTGGAAATAACTAGAAGTTATCCAGAATTACATCTAACACTAAAAAGGAAAAAGAGAAAGTGGTGGCCATGCTCAAAACACCATTTGGCATTCAAAAAACAATTTCCTCACTTGGCTGAAAAGCTGACTCCAATGGAAACTTCTGGATGTTGTTTACCACACTGTTTTAAGCTACGGGAACATCCGCAGTACCCGTGTGAAGCCTCCTGAAGAGACAACATGGAGGGACCATCACTCGCGTGGCTGTGCGCCTTCCGGCACATTTGCTTCAGCCAGTGACATCTAAGAGTGTGTCCCCACTTTACAGCCTGGCAGGGCAGACACTTCTCAGACCAGGTTTCACCCCAGAACCCTCCTCCTCCCCCAGAGGAGCGCATGTGGCCCTGAGCTGAGCTGCTGTGCAGACGGGCCAGGCACACAGATCCCGGAAGAGGAGACTGACTGAACCCGGCACATGCTACAGGAGGGCCGACTCTCCGCTTCATTACATAAAACCTATTAACTTAAAAGCCAGGTTTCCCTGCTGTCTTGGATGCCCAAAGTGCAGGGGTATGATTTGAACAAAGACTTTTTCCTTGACTTGGGCTACAGAACACTGATCATTTTGCTGGAAGGGTGTGGACTGAAGCTCAAAACAGTGAGCTGGAGTTTTAACTCAATTGCTGCCCATCAGAAAGGAACAAACGAAGTTAGGACCAGACAAAAATCAGTCTGGAGAAGATCAACAGGAAAATGACTTCATTCTCCTCTGAACTTCCTCAAGAATGGGTCAGGTGAGCCTGGGCAGGAAGTTCTGCTCTCTGTCCTTCCATTTCTCTGTAAAAGGAGCTGCTTCCTACATACCCAGGAGCAAATGCATGTAACACTGGCAGACCAGTGAGAAAGGGAGGCTATAATTCAGACGCCCTTTCCTTCTGTTGGGTCTGAATTCAGGTGATTTGTTTAATCCTCAGCTGCTCTCAGTCAACATTGTGGACAGCAGCAGACTGAAGTGGGATCAAGCAAGACCTTCCCTACCCTACTGCCTATACAATAGCTAGGTCACCAAGCCAAGTGTCACCAACACTCAGGGATAGGTACACAAGGTCAAGCAAGCAGAGGGACTGGGCTGTACTTGTCCAGCCCTACTAAGTGCCAGGCATTTTGCCCACGTTATCTCACTTAACCTGCAAAGCCAGTTTCACCATCTCCATTTTATGGAGGAGGAAACTAAAGCCTGAAAGAGATTTAAGATTTGCCCCCAAAAGAAGCTGGACTCCAAAAACCTGAGCTCTGCCACAGAGACACCACCCATAGCCAAGTCCCCAAGTCTGACAGGCAGGCTTTTGCTCTTCTCAGCCCCAAGACTAACCCCCAAACCAAGAGGACCTTGGGGTGCTAGAAAGACCATGAGCCCAGAATAACTGGGTCTCAACAAAACTCTGCAGCTGGCCGACTCCTCCACAAGTCACGTCGCTTCTCTGGGCCTTGGTTTCCGTGACTGCAAAAGGTAGTGAAAACGACTTTCCTCTCGCAAGGCAAGTGTGTGGACTGAAACAACACTTGGAAAACCATGAAGCACTCGGCTAAATGAAAAGCAGCTGGTGACTGTCACAAGTGGAGACCCCAGAATTTAAATCTCAGGTACACCTTATTTTTATTTCTTAGGCACTTCTCTCTAGAAAGCTCAAGATGTCAGACAATCACCTTCCAAACAACAATCATTTCCTCTGAACACTGTATCTGGGGCTTCTTTGAAGTGTAGTAACCCTGTGGCTAGGGGATTGGGCTCCCCTTCTTTCCCCAGGAGAATAATAATGTCAGGAGTTTTCAAGGCTAAAAAGGGAGGTTAGAAAGCTATGGGGACTTGGGAATCTCTTATTGAGAAGACATCATGAGATGATACCTATATTCCATGAATTCCTGGAAAAACAGGCCCCCAAATTTATGCTTTATCTTCAAGGATCCTACACAGAGAACTCAGCTAAAATTATTGCTTCGAAAGGAGGCACATTAGAAAACAACCAGCAAATTTTTTGAGACGCTGACACCCACCATCTAAAGGGGTATGGAAAAGCAATGCACAAAGAAAAGCAAGACTAAAAGAAAGTTCTTGTCCCAAACAGGCAGACACCTCCACACCCCCTCTTCCCAGAGAAAGAGACACACACAGACAGCCAACGCGCACTGTACACTCCCAACCCCCTGGGGAGGCTGTCTGACACGGGTTTTCATTCAGCCACTATGGCCTCATTACTCAA